CTCGGGCCGGGCTTGGGGACTCCCGGCCGACCGACGGTCCTTGGCCAGACCGCAGGCCCGTGTGCGCTGCGGACGGTGGCCGGGGTCTCCGGGCTCGTCCCTGCAGGGGCCAGTGTGTGCCGCGGAGCTCTAGACCGGGCGCCGGCACCGATCTCGGGGTCGTCGGCAGCCGCGGGCTTTCCCCCGGGACAGGGCGCGTGCCGGGGCTCTCCTGCAGGCGGCTTTCCGGACACCTCGGGCCCCGTGGAGCGAGGGGTGCGGTGCCCAATGGGGTGGGGGTGTGGGGTGCACGGGATCTGGTGAAGTGGAGGGGGCAGCGCACTGGACCCAGAGGTGGAGAGGTTGCACAAGGTGCCTTGCTGCGGGGATCCTCCCGGTGCCCGGGAGCTGTGGAATGGGCGAGGGCACAGTGCCCGGAGCCGCTGCCCAGCTCCAAGCTCGCTCTCTTCCTTCCCCAAAGAAACAACTTCCTGCTCACCCCGGCCCAGGACGCAGGAGTTGCGGGGAGCAGTTCTAGGCCGCAGTTGGCCCTCGGAGCCAGACGACTACACTGCTGCCCCCAGGCCACGCTGTTCTTTCCCGAGTCCATCCCTGGGGTCGCCACCGGCCAGGCTCCAGGGTCCAGACACAAGTTACAGTGCCAAGGAGGCTGCAGCAGCTTTTCCTGCCGACTCCGCAGCGGCACCTGAGTGGTTTCCCCGCAGAGGGGCCTGCCTGGGCCTCGGGCGCTAGGGGACACTTACACGGGGTCACTGTTCCGGGACCCCACCCCCTGCCAGGGCATGCCCTCGCTCAGATGGGCCTGGCTGGCTCCAGACGCCCAGGATGGGTGCCTGAGAGAAAGGAGGCCTCCTGGGCTCCATCCCAATGTCTCTCTGTGCCTGTCTCCCCCCCCACCCCCCAAGCCAGCCTTGGCATTCTAACCAGTGTCCCTTGACGTCACATCTCGCCATTTCTGTTAACCAATTGAAACTTGCCCGTTGTCATAAAAATATATATACTTTTGATGCCATTGGTAAATTCAAAAGTTCCTCGTGTGCCCTGCTTCCCAGGAAACTCCATTCCAGTTGGGGGCAAAGCTGGGCCCGGGCAGCTGGAGCAGCTCAGTCGGGGCCTCTGCTGCCCACTCATCATCGCTTTAGAGTTTCCCTCGGCCCCCATGACCTTGGCCTTGAATTGTGCTGGACACCCACCCACCCCCACACACACCACTGCCACCACTCTATGACATACACGATTTTGGGGGGAGGAAAGGAGGGAGAGGAAAAAAACCCAGGCTATATTAAGAAATCTTCCCAAATTGCTTCCCTGGGTGTTAGAATCTCACTGTAGCCTCTTCTTTCTAGGGACGGTTTTTTTTTTCCTCCCCCCCCCCACCCCCGTGAGAAAATACAGCTTTAGAAAATGGAGTAGAAATGTTTCCTGGTTAATCTTTCGTTGAAATCCTGACCAACTTTCACTTTCCCTAGCTCCTGACGCCCAGCAGAGACAGCCAAAGCGGGGGTGGTTTCACAACGAGGTGGGGTCTCCCTCTCACCGAGGAGGGTCCACCGTGGCCCCTCTCAGCTTTAAGGACTCAGGCTCCGGAGCTGGAAGCCCAGGAATTTTGTGCTCCTTCCCCAGAAACAAACGGCTCTCTGCAGCCTGCGACTCGAGAATGCCATACCCATGTTCTAGCAACACGGGGAAAAACGATCTCCCTTGTCTACCCCAGTCCTTTATCATTCCCTTCGCTGTTACAGTCCCCAGCACCCCCGACGAGGACAAGTGGAGTAAACGAACCCGTTCTCGTGAGACGAGTATGTCAGGGCAGTTCGAAAGCCACACATCCCTCTATGACCCCCTCCTGCTCCGGCCACACCGAGGAAGAACCCAACCACTAACTGCCATTATAAATCCCTCCTTTCCCCCATCTTTACTGCATGGTTCAACTACTTTAAAAAACAGATTAAAGACATTTTGTGGTTTAGCAACTTTGGGGACTCCAGAACAAAAATGCTTCAGAGACAGGGCTGAATGCACAGACCCAAACATCGCAGGCCCTTTTCATACCAAATCTTGTTTTTCCAAAATAATGAGCAAGCTGCGTAATGACCGAATGGGGATTTTGCAAATAAATATATGGTGACTCTTCTCGCATAAAACCGTTCCCAAGCGCAAACTCCAGAAATGCTGCATACCTCTGAGATATGTTCTCAGACGCACTTACCGCATCCAACAGCCACGTGTAATCTATGACCACTTCCCTAAACACTCGAAATATTATAACTGATGTGATATATGTTTTGTGATTAAATGGGTGGATTAAAACATTGAATTTAAAAAGCCACAAAGAAAAAGAGATTATCTTCCATTATGCCGCTTACCACTTTTGTTCCATTGGTACAAATACAAATTTGACAACTGTATCATTACTGAAGGCAATGACTAAATGCCAGGATATTCGCTTTCTAATTTCCACCTGAAATCGTTGTATAATCGTACCGCTTGCTAACCTTTTTATTAGCTGATTTTTTCCCTCGCTCTCGCACACAGTCATAAGTTAATTTAATGCCTTTTTCCTCCTCCTAATTTTTATTTGGTAAAGCAAGAAATTGGATGAGTCAGAGCAATATTTGAGAACACATACTCTTTTTTTTTAAAATCCCCTCTCTACTTGGCATGGATTTATATATAATTTGGTTGCAGATTCAGAAGTCAAATTCTGCTTTAATCAAGGAAAATAATAGCACTCACGTAATTCCGTTGGGTGTTATTCAAGTTGGCTTTTAAAAGCCTTTTCCTAACTTGCTATCATATTATAGTATTCGAAGTAAATGTTATGAAAATGTGTGCTCAAATTATTAAAAAGGAAACCGGGGAAATTTACTTTGTTGATGAGTGTCGCGATGGACACGTTTCCTGGAGTGTGTGTCTGTGGGCCACACGGAGCCCGAGGTCAGATGTTTGAAAAATAAGTCCACGGAGGCTCTCGCTATACCAGGATGTTTATAGTATCAGCCTCATACAGTTATTTTTTCCTGATTTCTCCCAAGATCTGCCTAATGGGAATGCAGCCGGCCACTTCCTGCTCTGCCGTGGACCGGTGTGTCCCGGCTCAGCCTTCGGCCACCGTCCAGCCTCGGCGAGCCAGGGTCACTTCGGTTTAGTTTCCCTTTTCTCAACGTATCGACATTGAATAGTTCAAACTTTTCTGTGTCCCAGGCGTTTCAAAGACTTCGGAAACAGATGCCTTTAATCTAATTCAAGCAAGTAGGATGAGTGTGAGCGAAAAACTTACATTTTTCACTTGGGTTTGGAACATTCAACGTATGCACCCGAGAATAGTGCTGTTTTTAAAGCTGGCCCCATAAACTTGAGATTGAGAGGTTTGTGGCGGCCTCTGGGTAAGAGGCCACTTCTTCAGTCATCCCAGTGTGTCCTTTTGAGGAGCCGCTAAGAAGCTCCGGGTACTGTGTGGAAAGGCGAACCAGGCTTATAAATTTTCGCTCTTTCGCCTTTGTCTCAAAGTAGCTTGCAGGCCTGGGATTCCATTTTGATAGGCCGATTTCAGAATAACTTGTGCTCCTACTTTATGAAGCACTCATTCTGACTCTCAATCACTTACGCACAAGCCTGTCGGCATCTGTTTACCTTCGGTAAGCATTTTTTTTCCTTGTGGAGATAGCTGAGGAAGAGGAGAGGGGAAAGGAGCCTGCTATTTAGACAGAAGTAAAACAGTGAACAGAGTAAATCAGGGTTTACAGGGGCTCGGGCTGGGTAAGGAAATGTGAGCAAGCGTCCACAGAAAGGATTCCTCCCTTCCGAGCATAATGAAGCATTTTTCAAAATCTTTTGCTTTAAGTT